AAAAATAAGTAATTAAGTAATTATGATAAAGCAAACGTTAATGATAGTGTTTTGTGACAATTTCTAAAGATATACTAGACCTCAAACTTTAATATTCAGTATGTGCTATAAATGTACTTGTACGTATATACACTACATAAACATAGCATATGACTGTAGCATATGGATGATCATGTGGCTTGCATGCGTTTCTCAAATTAGAGCTTGTAATACATCACGTGTACACAACACACAATGTCCGGAGTAAAGCGAAGAATAATTGTTAATCAGTGTAGCTTAGAATAAAGTTCTTACCGAAAATTGACATCATATTTTCATAAAATTAGCACATCATCTAGTGTCCCAAAAGTGGAAAATAAGTTTTACGTCAAATGGTGACTTTTTTTATTAGGGTTATTTGTCATATACTTGTAATGAAATTCAATTAATACAAGACGGAAAACTGATAACGGCGTTGAGTAACTAACACTAAAAAGAATTTTTCGAATTTAGACATTTACGTACATTATTAATACGTATGTACATACGTAATTATAAGTACGTAATAATTCGAACTTCGATGGAAGAAACTCGTACCACCAGAAAGAAATTTGTACCACAAAATGGAAACAAAAAAAAACAAACAGAAGTAGTATCCCCATCATTAGAACATTCTCAGAATTCTTTGTAACGATAGAAGTTTCTTAAGTTTCCATGAGCAATGTTTTTTGTTTTTTTTGTTTCACATAGATTAATCAATTTTTATCGGAGAAAGTCTGCAAATTCCTGTATTTCGATATTTAAACACCAGTTTTAAGAATCCGATAGCAACATCTTTATATGCTATTATCTATCATGTCTATATTGTATTAATTCAACCAATATTAATATAAAATAGATAAAGCATAATAAAGATATATGGCTTGAAAATCATATGTGAATTCCGAACCTATCTTTTATCATTATTGAGATGATCATGTTTTCAAATATTTGTATGATTATTTATTTTATTTGAGTTATACATTCGAAAAAAAAAAGTATATATAGAGCTTAAGAAATATTATAGTACACTTTTAAATTCCTGGTATTTAGGTAAGGATTTAATGAATTATGACTCATCATATGTTCATTAATATACATAATTCTTAATAAATGATTGTTGTATTTAAATATTCTGGCTAATGATTATTTCGTACGACTAAACATGCAATTAAATCACTAAATAGACAATTTTGTGTTGCACATCCTTTGGATTTTCATTCTTCGCTAAAGAAAAGTATATTTTGAAAATTTTTTCATAAGAAGGTACGACTTGCTGACGTGTTTTCAGCCTTGTGATAATTAAGTAAAAACAAGCAGTCATTATATATTCTTGTCATATTAAACGTCACTCAAGGAAAAAAAAAAAAAAAAACAAAACAAAAAAAGGCAAAACAAAAAAGAAAATATAACGTATTTACTTCTCATTCTGAACTTTAAATACACAGCCTACCAGTGACATTACCGATTTCACGACAATTACTATATAGTTTTTAAACCATATTTTAGAAAATATTTTAATCTACTCGTGTTACTTACTGTTTCAGGCTTGTATAATGGGTCAGACACTTTCCGAGCCGGTTAAAGAAAAACATACGGTTTCCGGTAAAGACAACCGTATACTGTATGCTTCTTCTGCTATGCAAGGCTGGCGCATTAGCATGGAAGACGCACATACTGCTACACTAACACTTCTTGATAAAAAGAACTATAGTTACTTTGGCGTTTACGACGGCCACGGTGGTAAATTTCTTTATAATTTTTTTTTCGTTCTATCAGTTTGCGTAATAACTTTTTTTTCTTTTTTTACTGCAGACTGGTCTAATTGGAAAGATATCTTATTATTTGCTTTCTATTTTTTAAATTATAGGACAAAATGTAGCTAAATATAGTGGCAATAATCTTCACGCTCGCATTGCGAAAGATGATAAATTTGATACTGATCTTGAAAAGGCCATACAAAATGGTTTTTTGGACACAGACGAGGATTTGAAGAAGGGTAATCATTTAGTTCATCTGTTCTCTTAATTTTATTCAAATAACGTTGTCTTTTCTTTAATGTTCTTGTCTTTAATATCGTTAATATATTAGATCCCCAATTTGCAAATGATCCTTCGGGGTGTACCGCAGTTATATCTATTATAACACCAAAGAATGAAATATACGTCGTAAGTTTCACACATTCACGATACATTGTTTACATCTCAGGGTAGTAGTTCGATGCTTCTATTTAGTCAATTTTCATCAATCATTAGGGAAATGCCGGCGATTCTCGTGCTGTTCTCAGTGTAGATGGTGAAGCACAACCAATGTCAGAGGATCATAAACCAGTTAACCCAAGTATTTTTGTTTTTTATCATTATTTATATTGTTACGAACTTTATTATTACTATTATTTATTATATTACTATTATTATTATTTCTAGACGAATCCAAGAGGATTACAGATGCCGGTGGATTTGTTGAATTTGGAAGAGTCAATGGTAGTGTGTTCGACAAATTATTCCTTGTTATTTATTATATCACTTGCTCTTCTCAAAGTATTGACATGGTTGCTTTCTCTCGTATAATAATGAGAGACTTTTGTTGGCTGTTTACGTTCGGATAATTATATTTATTCACATTATGTCATCAACGCATTCTTTCTTTTTCTTGTGTTTTATAGGAAATTTGGCTCTGTCTCGTGCTCTCGGTGACTTTGAATTTAAGCAAGTTCCAGGGCGTTCTCCCAGAGAACAAATTGTAACAGGTGAAAATCTATACATAATCTACATATTATTTTTATTAGCTATTTTAATATTAATTTTTTATTTTGTTTAATCTTTTTTATTTAAGCATATCCTGATGTTAAAAAAGCAGAAATTAAACCTGAAACAGAATTTTTAGTCCTAGCATGTGATGGTAAAATTTAGTTTTTAATTTATTCGATTTTTATAATTATAAAAAATTCATTGCATGATGTTGATTTTTTTTCATTAAAAAGGTATATGGGATTGTCTTTCGTCACAGCATGTTGTCAGCTTTATTCGTAAAAATATTTCCGAAAATAAAGACCTCAGGAAAGCTTGTGAAGATTTGATGGAACGCTGTTTAGCTAAGGATAGTGAACTTGGTGGTATTGGTTGTGATAATATGACTGTAATCATTGTTGGATTTCTCCATAACAAATCTGAAAAGGAATGGTATGAATGGATGGCAAAAAGATATGAAGACAAAGGCCCTAAATATCAAGATGATGTCAGACCACCAAAGGAAGAACATAATTTAAATGGTGAGAATGCTGATGAAGATATGGGCATTAATGCACCAGATGATGATCTTACACTTGACAATGAACGAATCAACAGTTCTGACAGTATGAAAAGTACTGATTCAAATCGAAGCGATAGCATTGATAGTAATTCTAGTGATGATTCAAATGGTAATTCGGAAAGTCTTAGTGGTAATAACAACTCTGGTACCGGGGTTTCTCGTTCTCTTCAACAAACTACAATGCAACCTAAAGAATCTAAAGTTGCTGAAAATACACCTTCGGCAGGGCGACAGAAAACTCCTCCTATATAGATTGGGTTTGGAAATCGGGATTTATACATCTCTTGTGATAATATAAATATTTCTCTATTCTCAGTCAATATTTGTAAAATTAAAAATAAATCAATTTATTAAATGCGTATATAAATTATTAAAACTTATATTTACTTTCAAATTAAGGATTTAAAGGGGGTTTGGAGACTAAGCAGAATAAAATGATATGTTACATTAGGTCTAGTGGTTATATTAAATATATGCACGACAAATTGCAAGTTTTTAACATCGATTCGTAAATAATAAACATTTTAATCAAGTCTCCTTTGAATGGAAGTGCTTTATAATTCTTGGAAAAATATATAGGAATCAGGGACCTGTGTATTTTGTAATTGGCCGCGTATTCCTCAAGTAATTTTGTAATTTTTAGGATGGATTGGTCTTGAAAAGACCAAATAAAACACAATCTTTTACCCGATTTCAGTTATTCAATTCCTCAGTCCTTGTAAATATATTTATCTAACATTATTACGTTAGTTGTTTTCGTAAGTCACCGATGTCGGCCGAAATTAGAAATGGTTATAACTCATACAGAATTCCCAAAATTCCGGCTGGAATTGATTAATTTGGCAAAAATTTTACTAATGAAAGCATAGCTCATTGATAATTTTGCTAAATGCCAACCCAACTTCGATCCGGAATTTTGGAGATTGTACTATAAAAAGTAATATGAAGGTGTAAAATCCGCGACAGATAGTTATGTTATTGATGCAAATCTTAGAGTTAGGGTCCGGGCTGGGCTGGATAGTTCGAAGTCCAGAACTAGCTCATATTTAATTGGATAGATCCATGCGCAATTCTTCAATATGTGTCAGGTTTATGGCGCAGCAAAAATTCTTTAAAGTTCGTTTATGTTAGGGTTAGGATCAGAGAGGATTAGTTTATATAGTAAATTGCCCAAGAATTTTCTTTGATTTGTAGTTTAGGAAATCTGCGCCACAAACCTGCAAACTAATGAGATTTCAAGATCAGGTGTAACGTAACACGACCAGGAAAAATGTTCGTAACTCAAAAAATCCGCCTACCAAAAAGTTTTCCTCATGCGATTTTACTATTTTTTTGCTAAATTAAATCCAATACAAACACTAACCCTAACTTGAAGATTTTTTGGCATGCCGCAAATACGGTAACGTGTCCGTAAAATTTTGAAGGCGATATTAGGAAAGATTATGCAAAAATTTAAAAAATTTGGATAATGCAAAAAATACTGAAATTTTTGAATTTGGCCAGCGTTACGAAATTACCATATAATTTAGTCCATGTCATATGACTATTAATGATTCGAATTTTGCATCGCTAATTATTTTACGTAATTAAAAGCGATTTAAACCAATAAAAACGATTTTATTTATAGATACTATATTGTAAAAAACTTCAAAAGTTGAATTGATCTAGATTTTGTATAAATATTTAAAAAAATTTGTGTCGGTTTCTGAATTTATACATTCAAAAAACACAAACTATAAACGACTTATTTTAAAATTAAGCTTAGCTTCGTACTTAACTACACTTCAAAATTATGTTCTTTTTTGAAAAATTGTTTGTAGTTCAAAAAAAATTTTTTTTTAAAAAAATCAATATTTATAGTAACTATCATCTTTATTGTGTTTTCAATTATATATATAACTTATACAAAAAGAGCATATAACTAATTATATATGCAATTTTTGATTGTTTATTTAAGTAGTTTATTTAAGAGTTTTATATTAGTTGTTATACTTTTTTTTTAAATATTAAGGTGAATATTTGTGATCTAGGATTTTATTGATAATATATTTGATTAATGGTTACATTACAATCACAGAAAGCAATTATGAAAAGAGTATACAACTAGCCATTCATATAATTTTAGTTATTGTTTAATTTAAATAATCCATTCAAAGGTTTTACACTAGCTATCATACCTAGAACCTGCTTGTAGGTTCTTTATTTAAATATTCTATTTTCTGTATTCACCTATCTACTTTTGCCTATCAACAACTTCAGCTGATGTTAATAAAAATATGTTATAGTTATTAAGTTTTTAAAGCAGTTTACTTATATAAAAAACCTTTGACCTTGTATTAAATCTTTTAAAATTTTCTGTAACCTATTCTTATAGTTGATCTGATATCATTATGGTTAAGATCAACACTTGCAGTCAGAATATATTATTAAATTGCTATGTTCTTGTAGAGTTTATCTTAATTTTAATATTAACTTTATAACATATTCTTATTACTTTGGTATTTAATTCAAGTTCTATCAAATTATCAACTTAGATAGTCTAAGCAAGTAAGTTATAACTATATTTCTAGTTTACATATTCTCTAATATATATTTTTTTCTTCTAAAATTTAAAAATTCTGATAGCTTAATTGATTCATTTAGTTCTTTCTTAAAAACTAACATATTTGTCTGATTTTATGAGTTCTAGTTCTGTTTCATAGATCTAGTTTTTACAGTAGGATTATCAAAAGTTCTGATTACTTTTCTATTCAAATCTTTTAAGTAAGTTTCTGTTTTTCTAGTTCTTATAATTTACATAATTACAAAAACTTATTATAGATTCATATTATCTGATATTAATTTGTGTTTCTTTATATAAGATATAACTATTGTACAAATGCTATATGACCTTTTAGTTAGACTAGTATGATATAAGTAATAGGTATTTGATCTCAACTAATAGGAGAAAACAGTTAACTATAACATAAAAAGAATTTCAAATTTTTATTAATACTAAAATTAGAACTCTAGATCTGTCATTTAAAAGTTAATAACCTAACTATTTCACTAGGTTATTATATTCTTATTAGTTGTTATACTTGTAATTTATTAAAAAATTATTTATTTAATTTTTTTAATTAGATTTTATTGTTTAATAGTTAAGTTGTTAACCTTTTACAAATAAGATTAATAGTTCAAATTAGATTAAAGACAAAATTTAAGAATTTTAAACTTTATAATCTAAAATAAAAATCAAACTATCAATCAGACTATTAGAAGTCTCGAACCAGAGAAAAAAGATCTTAAAAGACAGATTCTAAGATATTAAAGACAGGTTATAATTCTTCTAGACTATCTGAATTAGGAGTATAAGATCAGAAATAGGAGTATACTATAAGTACTAGAAATATGCTATAAAGTTGGTACTAAAATTTAGGTGAACTCTGCAAGAGTGAGCTCTGTTAATAAGAATTAAATGTAGGGAATTAGTTAGCAGAGGAGCACCCTTGAGTAGAGGCCTGCATTGGGTCTTGCAGCCCAGTTCAGCCTGGCCTGGCCCACAAATTTTTGTGGACTGGGCCAGGCCTAAAGCAAAATTTTATAATTGCAAGCCAAACTAGGCTGAAAAATTTGCAAAATTTTATAATTGTGGGCCAGTGCAGGCCTAAAAATTTGTAAAATTATATAAGAAATTTTTGCAGGCCAGGCTGGGCTGGACTAGCAAAAAAATAGTAACTCTAAATATGGGCTGGGCTGGGCCTAAAAAAAATTTTTAACTCTAATTGCAGGCCAGACCAGGCCTCAAAAATAGGCAATTTGCAGGTTCTTACCCTTAAGCCTTACAGTCAGATAACATTCTGAAATATGTAATAGCTTGATGAACATATAAAAAGGAAGGCCAAGGTTAGATTAGACAGCATCTAATATAAGTGTACAAGAACTTGTATACTATCTGTCAATGTAGTATAGAGATTAAAGTATTTAAAATAGATAATCTTCTAGTAGATTGCAGGTATGGCAGCTAGTATAGAATCTGTTATGTAGACAGATTACTTAAATTAGACAACCAAAAGTTGACAAGTGACTAGTTGTATACTCACCTTGTACAAGTTATGTAACTATAATTAAAAATATAATAAAGGCAATAGCTACCAATAATTACAGTTTTAGCAAAAGCAAAAAATAAAAAAATAAAAAAATAAAAATCAAATTAGATATAAAACCTTATAAAAAGTTTTAAAATGAAATATAAAGATAAGTAATATAATGATTTAGTGAAGTAAATAAGTTGTCAATCTTCTAAGTGATAGGTTATAATCTCAAAACCTACTAATAATAAAAATTTGGATAAATTATCTATATAATATTTATTGTATTACAACAATAATTTTTTTGTTGATTAGTTAGAATAAGATATCTGTAACTATGATCATATTAGTATGATTATTAGATTATGAGACATTTGTGTAATCTTAATTATACAGAGAGATGCAAACTGATATTAGATGATGCAAACTTAAAATAAATCTTTGTAGTTATGTAAATCTATAGAACTGACAAAAACTAAAGCCTATTTAGAAAAACTTAAGTAAAAAGATAACACAGATCTTTAATAATATTATTGTAAAGGCTAGATCTAGAAAACAGATATTAATATAGAGAAACTAAATAGATAAGAACTTTAAGATAAGTGGTATTACTAACCAGGCCACCAAAACTAAACTAAAAAAAAAAATATCAAGTTGGCTTGATATATCAAAGATAGGTTATAGTCCTATTGGACTATCTGAATTAGGAGTCTAAAAACAAAGCAGAAGTATACTAAAGTACTAGAAATATGCTTTAAAGTAAGTGATGAGGTTCAAATAAACTCTATAAGGGCTAGTTTTGTTAATGATTCATAAAGTAAATAAGTAATTAACAAAAAGACATCTTGGAGTCTTACAATCAGATAATGTGCTCTGAAATAAGTAATAGCGTAACAAATATACAAAAGAAGAGATCAAATATTGTGTTAGATAGCATTTAGTTGTATAGGAATCAGATGCTACTCACTTGAGTATCAGTATAAGAATTAAAATATTTAAGTAAATAATTTTCTAACAGATTATAAATATAGCAACTAATATAGAATCTTTGAGCTAACTACTTAAATAGGTAACTAAAAGTTACACATATAACTAGTTGCATACTTACTTTGTATAATTTTTTTTTTTATTTATTAAAGCTGATGTTAATAGTGGCTAATGCCTTTATTTATATTTTCAGTT